TTAAAGTATCGTTAAATGAATTCTCTAAACGTTTACATTCTCTGATATCATCCCACAACAATTATTTAATCCTTGCCACGTAAATAATAAACAATTAATTGTTATTACTCCATAGTTGTATTGTCTTAAAAACCATGTAAAATGAATTTAAAAAAATTTGTTTGTAGTATTTGCGATTGCTATGAAGCTTCATTTAATGAGACATTACAGACAGATGAAGACGGTGTCCCTTTGGAACATATTGTGACTGCTGTCAGTGGTGTTGAACTGTTGCAGAGTTGTAGTATCGGTATCAAATACCTAACAACATCTTCAGCTTCTGACATTGGCAATATGTCTGTCAGATCTTCTACTCAAGAGTCTGACACTAAATCAGAAGGTAATGCATTACTATATTTGATCTATAGAAAAGTTATTCTGTATGAAAATCATATTACAACTATTCCCTTATTTTATTTTATTTTTATTGATTCTATCCAACACCAATGTTTAACAGCCAGTGTAAGTGGATTGAAAAGTATTAGTCCACCATTGGCAAATAATTTGGCCTTGCTGAGTCGCGAATTAGTTGATTTGTTAAAGACCTGTACTCATTGTACTATGTCTTTCAACCGCTTCATACCAGCATATCATCACCATTTTGGCCGTCAATGCCGTGTTGCTGATTATGGTTTTACCAAACTTATTGATCTCTTAGAAGCGCTACCCAACATCGTGCAAGTAATTACCATACCCAGTTGTTGATATATTTAAAAAAAAAAATAATTTAAATTTTTGCTCCTCTTTCTCCTTAAGACATCATATGCTATTTAAAACATTCATTATTTTATTCAGTCTTATTAATATCGTATAGGCATAGCCATTGTCCAGTTGAACTTAATTATTATCATTATTTTTATACCTTATGAAAATTATCTTATTTAAAATGTATAAAATTTTCCTTTTTATAATAAGTTGAAATTTTATTAATTTTATTTTTGTATAAAATTTTATATTTTTAACATATTTCTTTGTACATTTTAGACAAGATAATTTTCATAATTTACATATACTATGCTATATAACAGTATAACAAATAACACAGTCAAATATTAGTGTTTAGGGAATGGGCCATTTTGGCGTGGAGTTTTTTACTTCTTAAATATTAACTACGGATATGAATGGATTTATATATTAAATTTTAAAAATAATAAATTATTGTAGTTTTATTTTAAGGAAATATTATGTGCAATCCCCTTTAAATAATCGATGAGATATCAATTGCTATATTTACTCACAATTTCATGCAATCATCGATGAAGTTGTGTATATTTTTTCATTTTTTTTTTTTTTGGGGGGGGGAGGACTCGTTCCATTTAATAGTTGAGTCAAAAAAACCATCATTACTTGTTTGAACCCTTTTCAGACAATTAATAAAAGTCCATATTTTATCAGATTGCACACCTCTATTTCTGAATATTTATGTAAATTAAAATAAAAATATTTTTAAATAATACTAATATTTAAGACCTAACTTAAATTATTTTATTTTTATTTTTCAAGAACAAACAAATATTTAGATAATGAGAGTAGACTTTTAACTTTTATAAGTCCCCTCTATGTTTTTCCATGATATGCTACTAAGAACAGCAATACATTTTTTTAGGTATTTGGAGAAGGTAACAAACGTTTCATGACATTATCACACAAAGCACAAGTACGGAGATTTACTTCCGATTTGTTACGTGTACTTAAATCTGTAGCCAGCAAACAAGTTCCTATTGTTGACTTTGGTACACTTTTTGAGAAAACCCTGGGTCGCGCTTTTGATCCAGTTGATTATGGGTTATGTTCTCTTGATGATTTATTGTCGCAAGTATCAGAAAACACAGTCGTCATTGGTCATCTGGACGGTCAAAAATCAGTGGCAATCCCTAAACGAGAACAAACTCCAGAAGAGATCGAACGAACCAAAGCTTTTGCAAAAGAAGTAAGTTTCAATAACAATTGTTAATGATTCGATTTTATGAAAAATTTCCCGAGCTTGGCACAATCGAATTTTTAAACAATATTAATCTTTATCTAGGTTATAGAGTTATTAAGTCATGCACCACAGTGCTGTCTATTATTTAATAAGTTCATACCTTCATACCATCATCATTTCGGCCATCAATGTAAAGTAGCCGATTTTGGATTTACAAAATTAATCGAATTGTTTGAATCAATACCGCACATTGTTAAGGTATTTTCAGTGTTATTTTGTGTGAGTTTTTCCGGTGTTGGTTTATGTAATATTTACACATAGATACATGTTTTCAACATTCTAAACATTTTGAAACATTATTTATGGATTTCTTAACAATTAAGTGTGTCATAGCTTTTAAACAGTCGGTGATAGTCATTTTTCGTGATGTTCTATGTATCTCTGATTTATGGTTCTCAGATGTATTGTATTTTATACAAAACCATCCAATTAAATTCATTGATGTTTTGTAATTTCTTTTAATCATTCGGAGTTACTATAAATTCTATGAAAATATTAAATGAGATATGAGAACAATGATAAAAATTGTAAAGTTTATGTATTTTGTTCAACTTTTTTTATTTAAATTGTGCTCAAGTCCATTGTGTATATGTTAAATAAATATCTATGTTAAGAGGATAACTTATAGCTGTTTAAATATTTTTTTCTCATAGGTAGTCAATAATCAATATTATTGCATACAATATTGTAAATAAGTGTCTTATATTTTAATTTTTAAAATCTGATTGTCTATTCACTTACTACATTTATTGAAATATAGTATAATTTACTTAGTATTAATTTTATAAGCAACTATCACTGTCTATTTTAGATTGAAGACGATTTAGAAGGAGAGCGTCGTGTTTCGTTGACAACTGAAGTAAAACAAAAAGTGCTTGGCGATCAGTTGGCTGCTTTAGCTACCTACCCATTGCAAATCAGTCAACTACAAAATGCCTTCTTGTGGCAGTATGGCTACGGTCTCAAACCTTCTGTGTATGGATGTGAGACACTCATTGAACTGTTACAAAAGCTCGATGACGCCGTTAAGGTAAGATAAAATATAATATTTTTATTTTAGTAGATGTATATAAAATGTAAATGTACCAAATTTGACTATGATTAATAATTAATTAACCTACATTATATAGTTTTTGGTTTTCCTCAAGAAAAATAATTACAAATTATGGTTATACTTAGGTTTGAGACCTATCACTGCATTTTAAAGTTAGCTGGATATTTTGCATTGAGTTTCTTTTTGTGTATACAATATTCTGTCAGTAGATGTTTGATTACTAATGTTACTCAACATACACATGGTTCTTTCTTTGACATTAAAAAACAATGGTGTCAAATTTTGATCTGTTAAATATTGTTTTTTCTATTTCTTTAAATTCAAGGTTCTACCAATAATTTTTGTTTTCGATTTTCCTTAATTTGGATATTGTCAGTTTATTTTCCATTTAAATTTTTATGTCTATATAAATTATGTATGAAAAAGTGATGTGTTGATTAGTTTTAAAGAATATTAGCCTTTTAGTTTCAAAAAAACAAAAAAATACCTCAAATTTCTTGGTTGGACAGCCTCCGAAAATGGTTCAATACATCAACAATATCTTTATTCAGAACAACCATTAATAAAGATCAAATTGCTAACATGATTGCCAATGTTCGTTAACGAATATGGCACTCGAAGAAGAAGTTTCATAATCCCTTTATAGTATATTTTACTCTGTATTCATTGAAAATTGTAGGCTTATGTAGTATAGATAGTTAGAATTTTTTTCTAATAATTTAAAACATTTGTTGTGTCACAGGTGGTAGACAACCATGGTGAGTTATTTTTGATAGCGGTGGACCGCAAAGAGGCCCAAAGATTGTCTCTGAAAGTTCGTCGGGTTTTGATGGAACACTCGTCCAATGATAAGATGTCTGTCTTGCAGTTTCAGTCTGTATATCAAACGATGTTTGGCGAATCTATAAGCATTGAAACCATGCAAGAGAAACTTAGTGAAACTATTAAAGTAATAACAAAGAGAATCCTAGTAATGTTTTCAGATATAATTACAGTAAAATTTATGTTTAGATTGTCAAGACTAAATTTGGAGAAGAATATGTACATTTGACTCCTTTGCAATTGTTTGCCCAAGACATGTATCGTCTATTAATGATCTCTGATGGTCGATTGTTGTTAACATCCCTTGAAGCCGCTTACTTGCGCTTGTTTGGCACTGCCATCCAGCCTGCTGTTTACGGATATCAGTCCGTAATGGCACTGATAACTAGTATTTCACACACTGTCCTCATTGAAAACAAGCCACCCAAGCGATATATTGTGCTCAACAAAGAACTAGCCAGTAAGTCAATAACTGTATCATAGAATACAATAAATGCAATTATTATGATAATTATAATAAACCCTAACCATTTTTATACTTGTTAAATAGGTGTAGGTATTCATTTGCCCAACAATATAATGAAATCACCCTTGATAGATCAAACTGAAAAAAATCATTGTAGTAAGCCTGATATGAACTTAATGAACCTCAATGAGAGTTTCAGCGAGAACAATGTTTTGCTGTCGGATGAGAATAAGGTATAATTACAAATAATTTAAATAAAATATAAATGTATGTTAATGTTGAAAATGATGATAACAGGCCGAGTCTGACTTGATGTATTAAACAAGGTTTTATATTAATCTGTTGGTCGAGATAATTTTCCCAACGTTGAGCGATATATTTTAATCTGTTAAAAACATTGTTTGTGTGATCATTCTCGGAAGCGATTAAAACTGATCAACATTACAAACAATTTTAAGTTTTAACCTTTTTGATTGTTCTTCTACATGCATTTAATACAATTATTTGAATATTTACATATTCTTACCTAGTGTAATTATATCTTTATTAGCTTTACTTATGATTATTGTTAGTTAAAAGTCTTAGAGAATACAATTTTATTAAATTTATATAATATAGTTTGAAAATTAAAATTAATTTTATCATGTAACTATTACAAAAAATATGATGAACTTGGGGGCCATATGATAAAAATAGGTTGTTACGTGGTACATCTGTT